CAATTTGCAATAGAAAATAAATCTGAAAACTTGTTTCTCTCTTTAATACCTTCGGGTATGGACACTAATCGGGCATGGAAAAAATTACTTTGCAGTCACCTCGACGCTGTATCACGCGCAAAAATCAAGTAAGGCTCGCTCGAAACCGTATCGAAACCGATTCACGTGCGCCTAGATTTTTATCTACGCGATCAACCTGAACGTTTTGCACTGGGATATCGAAAATCGCAAGAATGATATCGTGCCGTTGTGTATAAAAGTGAATCTACTATTTCCTTTTATACACGCGACAACGTTACGTCTCGTGAAAGAGTTTACACCCATGAGTTAGTTTCTTAACATTTAATTTCCTAAGAATTAATTAGATGTTAGTAAGAGTGTTAGCCTTACTAACTATCCGTATTGTTTTTCTTCTGAGAAAGAACGTTGATTTCACTTCAACAGAGTATTCAATAATAGTAGCCGATATGCTTGAACTGCGTCATATTCTTCTAACATGTTGATTTTTAAAGGAAATACATATATAGAATTTAAATTATTATAAGCTGTAGAATGCCTGAATTTTAATTTAGTTCTTTCATAATTAAATTGTCGCAAATAGGAGAAACTAGGAGAATACGTGTATAATGAAAATAAGATTAGTGTTTAATTTGAAGATATTAAAATGTTTTGTTCTCGTCTCTATCTTTAAACACTTAAACAACATGTTTTTTAGTTTTAAACTCTTTTTCCATAAACAAAACACTATGGATTTAAAATACATAATGTTTTCAATCCGAACGCGTAGTGTTTTTTTTGTCTATTAAAAAAATTAAACTAAAACATCTTTAAGTATTTAAAAAATGGAGACAAGAACAAAACATTTTAATGTCTTAAAATTAAACACTTCTTTCTTCAGTGTAAATAAATTGTAGAAACTCTTTTCTTCAAGCAAGAAAAACGCTGATTTCATCTATGGCTACTCTTAGTAAACATAAAATAATTATCGTATTTCTATTTTATCTTTAATTTTCTATAAATGTGTAGTTTATAGTGATAGTAGCACTTTTAAAAATAGATCGCCCAAGCAGGAGGCTTGAATATTGAATGTCTATAAAAATTCTTCGCTAGTGATAGAAATTAAGTTAACATATACTCCAGTTCTACGTATGTTATCTCCTGAAATTGTTCCATTACTTACTTTTTCGTTAAAAAAAAATATGTTACGATGGCCGGGAGCTGCTGTTTCAAAATTGAGCTAACTTAAGACTATTGTTTCGAAATTTAATTAATTTTTATGCTAATGCGACTTCAAGATTCGATTATATTGTTATAGCCCTACAATTCTATAATACATACTATATATCTCAAGATCTGTCAAAGACATCGGCATATCGTATGTCCTCGGGACGACCGCCGATTGCGCGTCGCGATTTCTTCGAAACCGACCGGATATTGAGCCCATTGTGCTCGTTGCACCAGTTGTGTTTGTGGCCATGACAGGCTTAAATAATTATAATCGTGGCGCATCCATGCAGCCCGTGTTTGCGAGCGTGCTGTCTCAAGAAGACAGCAGCGCGATTCTTTGTTTCCGCTAACTAATGCACGCTGCATTTGGAAGCAGCTGTACGCTGTAAGTCGTAAGTAATAGAGAATATAGAGAGCGAACGTGGCAAAGCAGACACAGCGCACTGGTCTATGCTATGCTAGAGATCTCGGATTCCTGATAAAACCAAAATATTTTCATACACTCTTCAGTGCAGACTTCTCTCGAAAGGAAGCAGCAACCTATCGAGATCTATCTTTCTTTGCCAACAACACTGTGTATGTACGCATGTACAGGTGTACGTGATCGAGAGAAATCACCACTGTCCGCTACGAGCGCAATATGACTAATTGTATAATAAAGAAAAAGAACAAGTAAACATACTCCTTCCCGCAACTTATTACTTCTCGTAAATATGAGGGCAATACAACACGATCGATTATTCTTGCCATTTGCGCAGGAATTTCACTTACAAATTTGACTCAAGAAATCGCGAGTGACGCGAATTACAATTGAATCATTTACAGACAATTTACCGCTCAGCGTCATTGTAAAAAGAAATGTGTTTTATTCTTGTCCCCATTTTTTAAACACTCGGAGTCAGTTTCAGTTTAAAATTTTTTCAATAGACAAAGCACTAAAAACTCGTGTTTAAAACGCGAAATGTTTTATTAAAGCTTGAAGCGATTTCATCATTTCGTTTCATCCAAATTCTCTTTATTTGCAAATTTTGCAGATTTTGCAAATGAATAAAAAATCAACGTGTCATTTCTCGCTTATGATCTATCATGATTCCAACATGGCCTCGGCGATTACTCAGGAGCTTTGAACAACTTTCCAAAGCTGAGATTCGACTGATGTTTTGCACTTGGCCAAAACCTTTCTCTCTTGAGAAGTCAAAGATGCTCGTCGTCTTTTTCTTAGAAGAAATACAATACAGCAACTCGCAATACGTCAATCGACTCGAAATGCGAACGTGATAATTGCTTCTTATTATGAGCCACTTTCGTGACGGCTGACAATTTTATAAGATAGTAAAACGTTCTATAATGCTACTTCGATAATGCTGCGCATTATCTTTCTACAATAGTCTCGACTAAAGCCGAGCCACTTCTTCGTTCTCACCTGAAATCTAATAGATAATTAGTTTGCTCCAAGTATGATCGATAAACACAAACATTTGACGCTTAACGTACCCTTAATTGCAACTTAACTCCGTAACTCCAACTAACCGATAATTGCTACATATCGCACGTGAGGCGTAAAAGTTTATTAATTTGTCGAAAATCCATTATTTATATAGATTTGCAACAACGTATTTTCTAGAAATAATTGTGCAACGTGTACACGAACATCTAATGTTTAAATAATACATAATTAATTACATTAATTAACAAACATGTTAAATGCGATATCTATTATTTACTCGAGATCAAAATTTAACAATCCTACTATTTATACAGAATGGTATAACGGATTGAACTGAGTCGAAAAGTTCTCTACCATTTTGCAATTTTTGCAATAGTTAACAAGATATCAATTACTAGAAATTGCAGAATATTGGTTTTCAA